AGCCACTCCTCCCAGCTTTGTGTCATCAGCATGATGTCATTGAGTTTTTTGCTCTAATGGCTTATGTAGTTTATTTCTTCTTCAGCTGCATTGGGAAATTCCAGAAAACTTACTGGTGCTGAATTGATAAGTGAACATATAAAATATAGTTAGATTTTAGAAAATGAGTTTAAGTTCATTTTGTCTGTATTAAGAGTTAGATTTTTTTTCTTGAGCTATTGGTCCATATTCTATGGTAATATAAATATAAAAATTACCTTGACAAGATACATTATTTTGTAAATTTTTGTCAGCTATTTTATTTTGTATTTCTTTAGGGGCTTCGATTTCTTCAGTTAAAAAATCCCTGGAGCCACTTACGTTGGAAGGGAAGATACAGTGAAAATGACACAAGAAATTGGACCCCAGATTTACAAAAATACTTGAACTTTGATCCCAGAACAGCTCAGAAAATAGACAATGGTAATGAAGTTTTAGAAGTCACTAACTTTTCAGATAATGTAGATTTTTGTGGTGTATACCTGCAGGAAGGCAGAAGGAAATGCTTAAGCACAAGGAGAGGAGGAGTAAAACAAATACTGTAAACTATGAACTATAAATAGCCCAGAAGTTTGGAATGTATTTGTGTATTTAAAAATGTAATTTCAGGTTTCACTGGGGTTTAAGTAACCTGGACTGTTTAATATCTCAAATTCATTGATAAGAAGTGATCTCTGCTTAAGTGTTGCTACCTCAGTATCTGGGCATGGGGGGGTTCATGTTATCTTATGTAAAGATAACATTCTGACAATAAGCTGTGTAATGCTGCTTTTTAATATGTGAATAGACTTTTTGTGCGTTTTTTCCTCCAACATTTGCAAATATTTAGCAAAATGCTTACTGTAATCAGTATTTAAATTAGTCTTGCTTATATTTGAGGTTGTGCATTGAAGGCAAGTGGGTTTTTTTTTCCCCTTGCATTACATGAATATACCTGTCAACAAATCTTTACATGCATTCTATTTCCAGCTGTAAGAATAGGTTGAGATCTGTCTTTGAGACAGTGGCACTACTGTGTCGCTGTCCAGAGAAACCACTTGGAACGATGCCCAGTGTTGTCATGTCCCATCTTCCCTAGGGAGCAGCAGAGCGTAGCACCTAGAAAGTTGGTGTGGGTTTGCTGGTGGAAGGGCAGGCTGCTAACAGTTTAAAAATTCTTCAGAAGCTGTGTTTTCCTTTCAGAAAGAGATGTCTGCTCTTTTTTATAGTGTTCTAGTTGCTGTTTGTTTATCTCTGTGAGGGGGCCCTTTTGTTTAGTGCCACTTTATTTTGACAACAGTATGCATTCAAAACCATTAAATTATAGCACTTAATGATGAGCCTGATGCAAATGGGTAAGAAAAACTTCTGATTTAAATATAAGAATAGTAGCTCTGGTTTTGTGGCAGTTATAAGAGATTAGCTTATTATTTATTTGCCAAGTCTTTCAGTAAGGAATATATATATATATCTGCAATATCTAATAGTTGAAATTTATATAAAATTACATTAATAATTTTAAGGGAGTTGTTTCTTCTGACTGGGTTTACGTTCTGGTCTTGTCTAAACATGTAGATACGCTGACTGCAGCTTTTTTTTAGCACTGCAAGATCTGCAACTGCATGTCAGAGACTTGAATTACAAAACAAAGCTGTTAGCTTCTTGAGAGTTCATTTCATCAGGAATCTGTCAGCTTGCAAGCATTGTTGTTGGCTGGAGTTGCAATTAAGGGAGCTATGGAGAATTAGAATAATTGCATGAGAATTTTCTAAAGATGAAGCGGATTCAGGGTGCTAAAGTAATGTAAATGTTGGATGAAGTATCTAAGAAATACATTCAAACATACTCATGTTGATTGAGTACTTGATTATGCTGGATGACTACTGAAGTAGGTTGTTGAATTGGGGATTATGTAAGGGGTTTTTTGTTTGTTTTTTTCTCAGAAACCTAGGGAATGGGAAGGCAGGTCAATTAATTAATTATGTCTCTTTCAATACAATAGATTCTGTCATGCCTTCTGCTTAGTGCTTGAGAATGAAAAGCATTCTGACAGTTTCAGAAAGTCTCTAATGATAAGCAGTGACTAATTTGTTTTTCTTGGGTTAACTTGTTTGTTTTGGGGTTTAAGTTTAGAAATTTGGGCAATGCAGATGTTACTAATAACTTTTACAGAAATGTGGGTTTATATAAACCAGATCGTTTGCTTGGAAAGAGACTTTTGAAATCCAAGTAGAATCAAGGTGCCTGGTCAGGAAACAATAACAATATTTCCTTTTTAGGCATTTTTTGGATAGCCTGGGAGGACCTGTGCCAGTACTATGATGTTATTTATTTGAGTTGGAACCCAAGTCTCTTTAAAGAATCTACATGTATTCACAGGTTGGTCTAAGAAAAAAAACAAGAACCTTTGTGTGGATACCTGACTAAATGTTCTGATGTTGTACTTCCTTCCTTCCATTCTCCTTCCAAGTTGGAGCTTGGGCCCCAACTATACTCCCTTGAGCTTGACTTTACACTTTTAAATTCTAAGTCCAGGCTTTGCTTTTGACTACTTCTGTAACGTCATTGAAACTCCAGTGAACTTTTTGATGATGCTGTGAACCTAAGCTTGTGTGACCAGATTCTGACTACAGTCCTACATCTGTCAGAATAGAAATCAGATTTTTGGCAGTCTGTGTTTTGCTTAAGTAGTCACCAGACAGTGCTCGAGTGACCTAGTTTTTATTTGGAATGCATTTTCCTGGACAGTTGCAGGTCATTTGTGCAGTAGATGTTGTCTTTACAGTGTGTGTTTGCTGATGTCAGAGTAGTTTAACTAATTCCATTTTTCACCAGTTGTAATTATTGTAAGTAATCTTCCTTGCCTTCTGATTTTTTCTGCACATTATACCTGTCTTCTAGTTAGTATCCATCATATTAATTCTTTTTGTCACCCAGTTTGAGGATAAGTGTGTGTCTCAGTTCTGGAAAGGATGGGTTTCTCAATTTTTCTGCTCCACTATACCGCACTTTGCCACTGCTTCCACACTGTTTATATATATGATAGTTCTGCACAAGCTCCTTCATCCATAGTACAACTACTCAGTTTAATCTCTAAAGGCTCCTTCCATCTTTTGGTTCAAATTAATTCTAAAATACACTGTGGTGATGTAACAAAATGAGATAATGGGTATGCTAATCTCAAAGCTCATCAACTAGTCTCTTTCC